CTTGCTACAGGATGAAGTTTCTTGGAGTTCTAGTGAGACGTCGTGACCAGTGAGGTCCATCCAGATGTCACGTGTGAAGATGGATGTCCCACCGATGATATTGGTTGGTGCCAGTCGCAATAAATCACGAATTGGTAGAAGTTAGAATTCATGAACCATTGAATCGGGTCCCAGTGGCTGAATGGTATACGAGCTTGCCTTGTAACCGGAAGGTCCTGGGTTCGAACTCCAGTGGGTGCGTACTGCCGATGATTCCCAAACTAGGATGAAACAGCTGACCAGTACTCCCTGGTTTTCAATGGTTCTCTAGCTGATATCAATTCGTGATCAACCCGTAAAAACATAAAATGTTACTAAAATCAAACAGACATTGTTAACCATTATGTGTGAGTTGAACATAGATATACGTAAGTGGCGACAAAGAACCACTGGACTGTCTAGTGACCTTTGACCTTATTCTTGACTTATTTCAGATTAATGAAGTGTATTCACTTAGTTGGGAATGTCAGTCTTTTCAGACCGATGTCTGAATTAATTTACTAGATAATAAAAGATTAAACAGACGGTTCAGAGACTTCACGTGTCATGAAAAGAACTTTCTAAAAGAGTTCATATCTGCATGTGTTATGTGACCAGGTCATACGCAGTTACACACTTCATCATGTGTAGGCAACTACGTGTGCTGACATCAAACCTTGTCCTAAGGCTGTACAAAAATCACGTACAACTGCACCTTTAAGTACATAATATCATCGATCCATGATTACTTTAAACGGACGCTGAACTACCGAAAACAGTTCACAAAATCGGCTATGGGCCTTCTATACAAACAATATGAAGAGATATTATTGTGTGTGTGTAAAACTTGGGCACTGTGGTAGTAAGTAATTCAGTATTAGTTCGTTTATTAGATGTATCACACAGTGAAGCAGTATTATTTACTGGATGACAAGGTTTCGAACAAAATTTATTCTGAAAAAGAGAAGACATTCAGCGAAGAGACTCTTTTCGGCGAATTCATTCACATAGCTGTACAATCGCATTTATATATAAATAGCGATTGTACAGCTATGTGAATGAATTCGCCGAAAAGAGTCTCTTCGCTGAATGTCTTCTCTTTTTCATATGACTCAATGGGGATTTTCAATCTACTCAAAATTTATTCTTACCAAGTCAAGGATAAAAGTAGCATTCAAACCCACAAACTCAATTAGAAACATGCTTTGTCGTTTAAAGGATCCTGTGGAGCATTTAAGACAAAACAGTTTAGTTTATCTAATACCCTGCCCCCTGATTGTCAGGTCAAATACATAGGTCAAAATAGTAGAAAAGGAGCAGTCAGACTAGCAGAGCATAAAAACCTAGCAAAATCTAGATTAGTTGACCTGAATAAGATAAGAAATCTGGAGAATAGTTCAGCTACAGCACTGCACCACATGCAATTACACACAGCCATACAATAGAATGATGGGGTAAGATGACAGTTTTAAAGTCTAACATAATTAACAGGCTGGAGGGACAGATTGATGACAGAAGCCTTGTTTCTCGAATCAACTGAGGAGAATACGTGTAATAGGAATGATTCAACGCCTGTCCACTCAGATATCTGGAAAATTCTACTACTTTAACGACGACAAATAGGAGAGAACAAAGAAAACTATAAAATCAAAGTTTCCAAGTCCTGTGATTTTAATAGATGATATGATTATGAACAATAAATTTTGTTCGAAACTGTGTCATCCCGTAAGTAATACTGTTTCACTGTGTGATACATCTAATAAACAAACTAATATGGAAACAATATGAAGAGAGTTAGTGGAAATTACGTCGTTTTATACTTAGACACAGCGCCAGCTAGGGGTGACTAGAATCCTTCCCTTAAGTCATCACGGACTCCCTTGTGGCAAGCCATATAGGATGGCGCATCAAACGGCAAAGACTCGAGTGCGTTCCCACTTCTTTCTGCTCGGAGCTTTCCACCCATAGAACTTTTTACTAGTAGCCGTCATTCTTGCCCCTTCGGTGGAAAGCATCAAGCATAGGCTGCATAATCATGGAGGAATATAAGAACGTCGTCCACCAGACTGTTTCCTTAACCAATATTGAGATGTAACCCTTGCATACCGTGCTCTAACAATGGCTTCTCAACTAAACTCGTCCTTGACACTCCCACTATGTTCCTTCACTCGCTCCTGCCTGTCTACTTTGCTTATTTATTTATTTACTTACTTCTACATCAATTATCTGCTTATATTTTCCGTCCGTCTTCTCTTTAAATCTACATATTTGCCATTAATTGGGGTATTAACATCATTGCTGTCTTACTTTCCAACTACATTGATGAAAGGATTAACACTGTTCACAGCATTGCTACGGTTTTGGGACGCCACACACTAGACATCGGATATAACCAGCCTTCCGTGCCATCCGATTTGGGTTCTACCGAAGCTACGGCTGCTGGCTAGCAGGAGGAAATACACAGCTCATCGAAGACCAGGAATGGTTACCTCAATACCAAGGAATGAGCCCAAAGAAATGAATATGGTTTTTACTAGCTCTTAAAAAAGATATCTGACATAAGTGAATACACTGTTTATTAATTTACTAAAATATTGTTCCAATAGTTGATTTGTAAGGATTAGGTTTGTTTTGACGAGGTGACCACGAATTGATATCAGTTAACTGTTCGGTACTCTTTGGTTTTCACTGGTTCTCTAATTGATATCAATGCGTGATCAACTCGTTAAAATATTATTAGTTGGTTGCAGGATTTCATCATGAGCTGACATCAGTTAGAGAACCATTGGAAGACCTGAGAGTATAGCACAACTGTTTCGTCAACGTAGTTTGGGATTCTTCATTAGTACGCACCTACGGGGGCTCGAACCCAGGACCTTCCGGCTTCAAGGTGAGCTAGCTCGTAAACCACACTCAGCCACTGGAACCCGACACAGGGGTCCATGGATTGAAACTTCTGTCAATTCACGACATAGCACGACCACTAACCAATGCCTTCGGCCGGTATTTGTCCTCACATCCGACTTACTGTTTTCCAATGGTTCTCTAACCCATGTCAACTCATGCTGAAGTCCTGTAGCCAATCAATGAAATCCCGACAAACCAATACTTGAATATCAGATGATTTACATGATTATTTGTGTACTTTTATATTATTATTGTATCTATTTGTTCCTAGTGTCCCGAGTGGGACAAAGAGTTTCAGCAAAACATCTCCATTCCCCCCCCGGCGGCACCACTATCATCAATTTCAGTTGACTCCACAACTGCCCACAACCTCTCATTTCCGCTTCACATGATCTTTAAACCGCCTCTCCCCATCCGGCTTCCACTCGAATGTTTGGCGTGTAATATCACCTAACAGTCTCCCCAGCATATGTCTAATCCATCTCAACTTTCATTTCCTTATGAACAGTTTTCGGGCAATAGACTGTCAGCTGGTTCGTTGCCCCTCCCCACCCGAGTTTCTTCTCGATTATACCTCCTGGGGACTTGATCCTCAGTATCGTAAGAAGACAAATGTTGATGGTGGTGTGCAGTCGTCTCTTGGAAATGCTTTTCTTGACGCGCCAAGTCTCTGAAACACATAGAAGTACTGACCTAAATTTTTATATATATATAGACAAACATATTCACAGACAAGGAACCACAATTAGTTATTTAAAAACATGCAAAAGACAAAATTGTAAAGATTCATTGTTTGTCTGTTTTCGACATAGAACTTTGCAAATATGTGAGGCAGTTCAAGTCGCCACACTCCATGTAGCACACAAAGCAAGAGAAGAAAGTAGGAGAAATGCATAATATAGACAGTTAACAGAGGTGTGAGACAAAAGAATAGTAATAACGAAGAACAAAACAGTTTCATCGGAAATCATAAGTCACAAGGAGTGGATGCATCTGCGCCAGCCATCACGGAGAACGATTTTGAGTCATATCGACAATTGTTTCCAGCCATTAGCTTTTACCGTCCCGAGGACCCCAACCAGTCAGGAAGCCTACACTTTCCTACTTGGATTTCATTGACTGATGAAGCCATGTTTTGGTTTGACCACCGTTAGTTCTTTTCCAGCCTGACCCTATATCAGCTAACATTGCCCATCGAGGAAGGCGATGACTAGGCATACGTAACACATGTCCCAACCATCTCAGTCGATGTAATTTCACAGTCTCATCGATTGATTTCCCCTCCTTACCTAGAACTCGACCGATGCCTAACTTCAATATTGCTCACCTTATTGTACCACTTCACACGGGAGATAGAACGCAGCCATCTATGATCAAAGACAGCCAGCTAGCCTTTTCATGTCTTACACTCTCAATGGCCAGGTCTCACAGTCATAAAGGAGGACGGAGCGGACTCCTGAGCAGTACACGCACCCTTTGGTCGATAGTCGGATATCACGTCTACGCCAGAGATGGCGTAAACTGGCATATAGGAAACTAACCCTCTGTATCCGTACTGAGATTTCGTCGGAGATCAACCCGTCGGCACTGGCTGATGGTATTTCCCAAATAAGTGAAGCGGTCAACGTACTCTACCACTTCACTTCCTATTTCTAATCTAGGAGTCGGTGTAGTTCAATCCTGTAACATCATCTTGCATTTGGCGGGAGCGAATCGCATGAAGATTCATTACCTAATCATTACTGCGCGTTTCGAGTGGAATATACGGTGTTAAGCTTGGGCCTTGGGATTTCAGTAGTATCATGCTTAACCTCCCCTCTTTACTGGGTTCGCTATCGGCTAAGTGAAGTTCAAGAGTGAGCCGGCAGGCAATCGAATCCGAACCACATGAGGCATCGTTAGCGAGTCTGTCTGTCACTGAACCAAAGGTTCATTAGGATGTCAATTATTTGAAACTTCTCTTTAAAAAAAATTTATAAAGTAGGCTTTAAAAATCCATTACAATCAACAGATATCAAAAAGGAAAAAAAAACTTTTTAAAAATGCAGCCCCCAATAAATACGTCTACATCTTACCTCGTTGTTTGTTCCAACATCTAAACAGACTGGTAGCAAGTGTTGTGGAGGGATTCCTGCCAGACCAGTGTACAGTGCTAGTTTACCAACTGGTATTCCCATTCCAAAGGCACCTTGATCACCTAATCCAAGAATACGTTCACCATCAGTTACACAAATAGCCTATTAATTAAATACAAGAGAAATTAAGTATTTTAAGCAATAATCAATTAGTAGAAAATGGACAGCTTCGAAAATGAAAACAGCTTAAGAATGTTATTTGCACCAGTGGTGAAGCAGTCTGAAGAGGGTGAAGATATGGTTTATTAGTGGTAAAATATGATAAGCAATTGTGAGGTTAGGCATACAATGTTAGGTAAAGAGGGGAAGTGAAGAGATGAGGTAACAACATTAGATTGATTGAAATGTTAAGACATGTGTTACGTATGCCTAGCCGCCGCCTTTCTCAATGAGAAATGTTAGCTGACAAAGGATTACGTAGAAAAAGAATTAGGAGAGAGAAAAAAGGTGCACTGGATACAGAACTCCACCCCCCCCCCCTCCAACTAGGAACAAGATGGATTCAGGAAAGGCAAATCATGTGTTGATCAAATTGCAAATCTACGCTTCGTCATCAGAGAACAAAGCATAGAATGGCAGTCAAACCTCTACCTCGACTTCATTGACCGAGAAGCGATTTGGCAACCACTTCAACACAACGGCGTGCAGTGCTCAAGTCTTTATCAAACAGCTGGCTATATGACAATGTCACGTGTCAGGTGATCCACAACGGGAAACTCAGTGAGGCGTTCGAAGTGAACACAGGAGTAAGACAAGCTGGCTGCTTATTATCACCGATGATATTCTTAATTGTGGTGGACTGGATTATATGTTAGACTGTGCATTGGAAGTGAGAAGATAGGAATATGCTGGACTGACTAATAGGAAGACTAGAAGATCTGGATCTCGCTGATGATATATGTCTAATGTCACGAAAACTCGAAGACTCGCAGGCGAACACCAACAAACTGGCCGAAGAAATAGGCAGCGAAGACAGGAGTCCAAGTGAATACAGAGGTGATGAAGATAACCAACCACCACCAACAGCAACAGCAACAACAACCAGCACCAATCACCATCAACGGGAGAGATTTGACAGAGGTTGCTTCCTGGCTTCACTTATCTGTCCAGGAAGCACAGTTTCAACCACAGGCAGTTGGGCAGCACAGATGAAGATGTAGATGCCAGCCAGTCAGAATTTGGAAGGCGAGATACACCTTCATCAATCTGAAACTAGTTTGGAAATCTTCTGCTTCTCCCAGCCATCATAAAGAATTCGAATTTTCAACACAAATGTGAAGTCAGTCAGTCAGTTCTTCTATACGGGTCAGAAAGTTGGCCAGCGTGTCACTAAAAGGATTTCCAACAGGTTACTGCAGACTTTTATCAACAGCTGCCTCCTTCCCTGGCTCGATCCACAGTGAAGATCAAATGGCCGGCCGGCTGGCTGGCCAGAAAGAATTAGTAACAAGAAGATCTGGCTGGGAACAAACCAACAGGCGAGAGCCGATTGCTCAACAAATATGGAGGAGAAAATGGAGACGGATTGGGCACACGTTGAGAAGGCCGTCGAATGACATCGCGTACAGTGCAGGCTATCACTGGAGTGGAACCCGAACGGGGAGCGACAAGTGGGCCGTCACATTGAGGGTGACATGGAGGAGATCATGCTAGTTGGAGGAGGAGATGAGAGATTATGGGCAATCGTGGAACTAGCCAGCTGAAGAGGACAGCAGAAAATAGAACAAAGTGGAGATGTGTTGTTGAAGCTAGCGCTATGTTCCACTCGGAACCCAAGGGAATAATAATCACAATAAATCAAAACTTGGCATCAATCCATGAAGCATTTTGACAGTTGGTTTGACCCAAACACATAAGGAGGTGTACAATACTTGGTTGAGGTCCTCAAAATGCTAAGAATCAATGACTTAGGACTGTTGATGTACGTAATTATATAGTCGCATTCACTCTTCGTAAGCTCCCAGATGTATGAAATCCTCATGGTTTTCCATATTATTATTATTCCTTCTCCAGTACATTTCTACTTCTTATATTCCTATCGATTTTTTTTCTTTTTTTTACTTTTGTGTGCTACATGGAGTGTGGTAACCTGTACTGCTACACTTCGGTACAAAGTCCTACGTTGAAACTCAGTCACCCAAATCAGGCAGTATTCAGTTAGTGAGTAACAACCAGATGTGGTTATGTTGCTATATAAATAGTAAACAATATATAAATATATATATAAATAGTAAACAAATAATACCAAAGAACTCAAGGCAGACAACGACAAATGTTATCAGAAGAACACAAAAGACAACTTAATGAATTGCTGAACAACAAAAACATAATACTGATTCGTCCAGACAAAGGATCAGGTATTGTTATTCTTAATCGTGATGACTATGTCAATAAATTATGTACCATCCTTAGTGATGAAGAAAAATTTCAAAAATCACCCGATCAAAAAGACAAGACAGAGAATATTGAGAAAGAATTATCAAAAACTTTGACAAAACTAAAGCAAGAATGCATCATTACTCCATATATGTATGAACAGCTTAAACCATCTGGTTCAACTATCCCTCGTTTATATGGTCTTCCAAAGGTGCACAAAGATGATGTCCCTCTCGACCTGTATTGGATATGCTGAACTCACCGTATCACTCTACCGCTAAATGGCTTGCGGAAATTCTAGCAGCAATGGATATCCTACAAGGTTTATTGAACGTAACATCAAGAAAGAATCCGCTCCTAGACAAATCACAGTGCCAAAGAAGAAACTGTTTATGAGTCTGGCATTCAAAGGTGACACCATTTCTGAATTGATGAAAAATCGTTTATCTAAATGTATTAAACGCTCTTTTCATGCAGCTGACTTGCATCTAGTTTTTACCCGTCGAAATATGTTTAGACAATGCGTCAAGGATAGATTACCGCTTATGCCTACATCTATGTGCATTTACTCTTTTACCTGCTCTTGTGGATCTGATTATATTGGACGTTGTAAGCGTACTCTCCGAAATCGTGTAGCTGAACACTATCCGGTTTGGTTAATGAAAGGCGAACGTAGAACTGCGAAGTCGTCTATTTGTGATCACCTGTTAGAGTCTGGTCATTTAGCCCCACGTGATTCATCCTTCAAGGTTATCTACATGGCAAAATCGAATCGCTCCAAAAGTTTACGTTTTCTTCACTTATGCATAGCCGAAGCTTTAGCTATACACGAACAGAAACCTAAACTTTGTGTTCAAAAACGCTTTGTCAGACCCCTTTCTTTACCTTGGTCATAGTAATGTTCTTTCTAGTTTTTATTTTATTTTATTTTGCCACTTGAATTCATTCCACTTCACATCACGTCTTTATTCTTATCGTAATCGTACTCCTAGTTTTTTAAAATTTTTAGACAACGCTTGACATTTAAAAAAGAAATTATTTCTGATATCAATTCACTTATAAAACAATCTTTAATAATTTTGTAATTCATCCACTTCAACTCTGCCCCTTATAACATTTTAATTATCGTTATTCTTATCACATATATATGTATATTGACTGAGCGATTATTTGGTACCACTTAATAACTTTTTTCTGTAATATAAATACGACTGTACAGCTTGAAGATGAAGTCGTTGAAAAGAAATTTCTTCGCTGAACAAATAGAATCCCTAGGAGCTTGTTACACCCACGTGAATCTGCAATCAACGGACAAAGACACACACATCAGCTTTATCAAACAACAGAAAGTCACACGATCAAAATGTCAATTATCAGGTTAACAACATAATCAGTGCCAATACCAAAGGAGAAGAAACTGCCAGTCACATTCAGTGCCATCAGGACAGATGGTTACTGTACTACGTCAGTGGTTCAGAGATAGGATGGTTTCAAATCACGCAGGTGGTCGAGGTTGTATTCCCGGCTAACCTAGCCTAGCCAGTAGTAAGCCTGGTAAAGAAGTAAGGTTGGATGTGCGACTAACAACCGAACCCCGCAAAAACAACACCAACGCTACTGAAACTTCAGAGCTTAAAGCTTGAGGCCCTATGTCCCAATCGAAACGCAAAGTGATGCAAAATTTCATAGAGAATTCTAAATTCTCACTCGTTGCTAGAGCGTTGAAAGTGTTGTCTAGAACGGTAATAAAACTTTACATCCAGCTCATAAAATACAACTACATCAACAATAGCCACCGAAGCTACAAATATTCCCCATCATTTCCAAATACATATTCGTTTGAAAACAAAGGTATTCATCAAGCAGTTGTGTTAAGGTTATTCAAGATGGTGGATTAATTAAAGCGTCGTTTGTCAGATGACAAGTACTCTCGTTTATCTTATTGTATTGATAAAAAAACTGAATATTACACTACTGAACTTATACAAAAGACTAGTCAGGTGAAAATGATGGTATAAACGTGAAACTTACTCGTATATCTTTACTTGGCCAGTTTTTCAATAGATTCACTATATTGCCTTTATCTTTAATAGTGATGAAGAGTCCCCTGAAAATAAAATTCAGTAAAACTGATCAGGATATAGCACGAGTGAATTCTTGTATGTGTATATATTGTGCCAAAAACTTAGAAGTTTTACTCAGTTTAAAACAATCTAGAATTCATAAGCTACTGGATTTTGTCCCAGTGGCTGAATGGTCGTCAACTGGTTCATCTCATCACCTAAAGGTCCTGCGTTTGACATTTGGTCTGTTGCGCACTGCCGAAGTGTTCCAATTTAGAATGGGCCAGCTTTCCAACAATTCCAACGTTTGAATGCTTTTCTAAATGAGGTTGATTCGTGATAATACTTGAAACCAATCAAATCCCTACAAACTAACTCTTGAAAATCAATAAAAAACATCTTCATGGACACTAAAATTGTGTAGTTGGACTTTATAAAACATGCCTGCACTAGTAGCACCATATAATGACTCCATAATGGTTACTGTAATTCTAGAATTAGGATAACTTGAAAAGTTTTTTCATGTACCAGGCTACGAGAGACACTTAGTGTGTGAGGGCTGATGCTACGACCCATTCATTTAGATTGAAGTGGGTTGACCAGAATTCGAAGCAAAGACAAGCTGGTTGAAGGTTAATTGTGACAGTCACGAGCCACATCCCCATACCGTGAAACTATTTCAGCCGTTGAAGGACAAACAGACTGCGCTTCAGTAACAACTAACACGATTTCTTAACTGTTATAACCTAAAGTATATTGCTTTCTAATAAGCTCAGTTACCAGAAATTGATGGTCTTAAATTTTCTTTACAACCCAATGAGTTTGGAAAACAAAACGTTTCAGTCTATGGACTAGGTGTTACTCATTAAAGCCAAATCAAAAAAATATTGTGTGGCTAATCACATCTCTCTCAGTGATGCAGATGCTTTTAGTCTCTACAATCTCCCGGATCTGTCAAACCTTCGTGTCCTTCTATGTTACTATTCTTCCTCCCGCACATTCCTACTTATTACAGTTCTTTTGAATTTACTTTTTCTCTCTTCCTTCTAACTTCCTGTGCTACACAGATTGTAACAAATTCAACTGCTGCACTTCTATGTAAAGCTCTATGTTGCAACTTCATCATGCATTAACTTGTATGAACAATACATAAAATCATATGAAGAGATCAATGAGAAACTGTTTTTTTCCGTCGTGCAAGGTTTATATTCTTAATTTTGATGTGAGATATTCGTACAAAGAAGTCAACTTGAAGAGCGGTAAGGCAGCTGTACAGTCTAGTTAATAACTAATATCTTCAGGTCATCTTTCCTTCCTTCTACGAACAAAACGATTAATTAGTTCCACTAATAGCATGTTAATATAGCCTTTTGTGACTATGAGCACGAAGCAGAAGTAATATACAGACACACGAAATTTACAGTAATTAGTTACTCATCACCTATTTCCTCACTGTATGAAACTAGTTATATAATAGTTATGTGTTAGTGAGAAATTTTACTGCTATGACGAACAAATTTTATACTAGAGGACGTTAGAAAGGGTGGTGACACATAACGCAGTTTGTATTTGCTCTGAATGATGTATGGACACTTTCAAAACAAAAAAATACTTAGTGCTTAAACTAAATCAACTATATATTGCTAAACTTCCATGCTTTCAGTATATCTTGGTGCAGAGGGTAAATCTGATTCCCTAGTATTTTCAAAAACATTTAATCCAAGAGTAATTATCATTCAGCATTTAGAATTTCAAATGAAAGGCAACGTCTAAAAACTTTTAAAAATCATGGGAAATTTATATCAATTCACATAAAACGATTGCGCCTAAAAGTGATTGCTTAGAATACACCGGATGAACGACCTAAATAATAAACTGTGGGGAAATTTTGGGGTTTGTGGAGGTTAAACGTTGCATTTTCTCACAAATTCTCCCGAATTTTTACACTGCTTTTCCCTCACACTTCCCGAAATGATTATTTGGAGAGAAAAATTTAAAAAATGTTCTGCTGTATAAATTTACTTGTGGTGAATTTACAAACTTCAAAAGGTTTCCGACTAACCTTCCACTGTTATACACTAATCCCAGATTCTCACAAGCTAATCCTACTGTTGGAGTGTAGATCAGAGGCATCATCCTATCCACGTGTTTTGACACCAATTTGAAAAACATTGTTTTATTTGTGTCGAATAGGTGCATCAGCCAGTCATATTTGTCTAAATCTGATTTGAACATGTCAAGTCTCCTGAGACTGACATCTTCTATGTAATCGGTTGCATCCTGATCACTACCAAATGTACCACGTGTGGGAGCAAGACCAGCCATTTTGAAATTGCGGTATGTATTTTGCCCGCACTTGGTAGCCTTTATATAATTCGTTGGTTGTGTAAAAAGTTACGGTTACCTGGAAATTTACTTGTACACGGTTAAATATAGATTTCTTAGAATTTATCAAACTCTTTTTAGAAAAAAACACGTGGGGTAATTGTGAACGGATTCCGAACATATTATACAGTCCAGTTCAAGGTTAGTAACTGAATATTTGCCAAGTCATAACGACCCTCAGATCTTTACATTTTCGTGCTACGGAAATAATGAAACTCAGATAGGAGTACAGTATCCAAAATCTATACAAGCAGGTAATTAAAACTCAAATATTTGGTAGTATTTACTTCTCTTTCTGTAAAAAGCAAATTATTTTATTTTATAGTCGTATCCAATACCGAACAACCTTTTGTGAGTTTCTTGGTAGTGAGATCACGTTTCCTGATCCTCGTTGAGCTTCTATGAATCTTGCTTCGACATGTACCTACAGTAGCTCTGGCAGACCTTGAGAAGAGTAGCACTGGAGATTGCTTATGTTTGGTTTGTAGTGTGTTGTGTGTTCACACTTTGATGGTGCTGTGACCAGTGTTAGTCAGTCTACTCGTTAGTGGTCCAGTGTGGTCGAAAATCCAGGTGATGATGATTATGGCGTGGTTAATTAAAAATGCGTACATCTAAGGAGTAAGACGACCGAACAAATACGTAGATAATTAAGTGAAAACAAATGAACGAATAAATAAGCAGATTGAGCAGAAGAGAGTGAAGCAAGGAAGACTATGACGCTGCGAATTGTGACTGTTTGTTGAGAAGCAATTGAGAGAGTGCAGTATGTGTCGGCTACATCTCATTTTGCTTGAGGGGACAGCCCATTACAATGTTAATGCAGCCTATGCTTGAAACTCTCCACTAAAGAAGTGGTAATAACGGTTGCTTATTAAGAGTTCTCTTGAAGAAAAGAGACATTCATAGAGTCGATTCTGTATTAATTAGGTTACTCCTAAGCCAACGGCAGCTAATTACAAGTAACTTAATGTCGGTAGCATTTAGTCACTTAGTTTGCGTGAAAGGCCGGTAATGTCATTTGTCGCCCATCTCTGAACCCTTCCTAGGAGTGATATTGAAAGATGACATTGAACGCCATATGGTACATTTGTACACCGATTCTCCCAAACTTATTAGGAGCTATGATGTGAGCTTAAGCATTAGGTTCATACATGTATATGTCCTGGTCTGTCTGCAGTCTTTTCGAACCTTGAAATCAGCAGTTGGTAGGTCACTGCCAAGTGCTATAAACAATATGGACTTTAAAATAGAACTTCATGTCCCTTCTAAGGTCAAGACGCGCTAACGTGGTCAGATAGGACTGACCTTGGCACAGAATTCGCTTCGTTCCACAAACCCCGATGGAAGCGAACAACTGATACCTGCGTGGCCAGTAAGAATTTCATGCTGAACAGTGTCAAGTGCTTCCATTAAATCAAGGAAGACCACGCGAACTACAACATTCACACCTCAATATGATGACCAGTCATTCCACGTGAAGATTGGGCTTGCCACGTGGTACGTACATTTCCTGGAACCGTGTCGTGCTTTATGTAGTGTATCATTCCCACTATGATATTTGCTGTGTATTTGTCAATCAGGCTCTCCAGTACTTTCGACACGACTTGGAGTGCTGTTACTAGCATGTAATTTCAAGGAGTTCACTGATTTATAGTAAAAAATAGGGCCCTCTTACACTCTCTAGGCATCCGCACTAAGTCTACAGTGTCAGAATAGGTGACACGAGAGATGGAGGGGGTTTCTGTACGCTGTTTTAGAAACACTGGCCAGAAACTATCATAATGTGAAGGCTTTCCAGTGTGTTTTTTTCTGAACAGAAACAAGCCACTTTTACAGCTATAACATATGTGTACTAATTATAACTGATAGAATATGTGATGGTCGTGCCTGTAAAACTGGCATGCATTTTCATGTAAATTTATGTTTATATGAAAATATTTATTATTATTATAAAAATTGAGACTAAATGCTAATTTAAATGACAAGAATGTTGAAAAAAGTGCAGATAACTAGATAAATAATTTTTTAAATTTGCCTAACTTCCAATAATTTATAAGATGTTGGATTAAGTCAAAATTTTAAGCTAAAATGTACCTACTGCATATCAGTTTCACTTGAGAATTATAAACCGAAATATCGGTAGGCGGTAAAAAGCATTCTTATACACAGGTGCTAAGGCAACACATAAAGAATGAAAAATTTGCGTTAGTCATCAGTGTATGAGTTATAAAAGGCTCGAAAATTCAAAAATCCTAAAGTCACTCGAAGTACAGCCTAACTGTGGCGTTGGCAGTTGTACGAGACCAACTTTGAAATGTTCAACATCTTTTATGATGGAGGTGATTTCGATCTTCATCAGATGTGCTAACACCATTCTCTTAAAACCGAGGAACCTCAGCATTAGAGCTCTATCCTAGAGATAAGTGTGGTTCTCATGTGTCCACAGCAGCATATACGCTGAATAGTGGAGTCAGTGACCACTATTCTTGGGGAAAGAACCTAAACTAACGTTTAAATTTTGAGCAGTCAAAATTCGCCTTGCTGTACTACATATGGGGGATTCACATTTCCTACCACCATTAAATGTACTGATTAGCGTACGCGATCCTCCACCGCTATCGCCAAGGGGAATTTTGCTCATGACATTTTCCACTAGCAAAGTGTTATTAGTCAAGACATAATCAGGTTTTTATTGCTCCTCCCTAGTACCCTAGCATCTCTTCTTGCGTTCCCAATCAGCCCTTCATATGATGTCTTGCAGATTTTGATCGAAAGTTGCTTAACTACACTGCTACCTGAACTTTAGGGACGGAGTGTTAACATCTACAGGTATGATGTCTCGATCATAGCCTAAGTTCTTATATATATGTGATGACACAACGCAGTTCCTTAATGCTAACTGATGGTTGTTCGATGCCACTCCATAGGTGATCGACGTAGCCGTTGGTTAAGTGGCACTATTTCATATCTAGGGGTAGTAGTAGTGGATTTTTTGATCGCGCATACCTCTCAACCACTATATGTGCACGATAAATGACCTTACTATCCTAGATAAACACAAACATACTGCACTGCTTCACGGTACTTTCAAAGTTTAAGTCGGACGTTGATATGGCATATCCCCTTTTTGAAGTGGCGCCTCCAGCTGAACCTTGAGGACATTTGCGCGGTCTAATTGATTTCAGTTTGGCTGATTTGTTTCGTTTGATCTAGGTAGCTGCATTTGACGTGATTCTGCTTTCTATATGGCTTGAACTGTGTTGATTTTGTTAAGAATAGTCGTCAAAAGCTCCCTCTAGGCCTGAAGGCAGTTATGGTGCAGGAGGATGCTTGAGAATGTGTTCCATGTGAAAATTATAGGGTGCACCCGTTTGTGGCGTCTCAATGATTTCTGTAGAGCTTCGTTTTATCACTTGTGTCCATATTTGTCGTTCACGAGTGTTTCAGTAAATGTCTGTGGCTGTAATCAGGAACTTTCCAAAACGGTAATTGTGGTAAGGAATTTATATTTTTTTCCGCTATAGTTTCCAAGTCAATGTCTCTTTCAAGTCACCTACTGTACTCTGTTCTCTATTCGTGAATTTTTAATTCAAAAGCTTCTGTTTTCATTCACAGTGGTACCGAATGGGCGCATTGGCACTTGGAGACAATGGCAACCAACCTGCCCTTCCTATATCAGTGGATATCAAAAAACCTTTTGACGGAATTATGTTTAGTCACCGGTATACCATTTGGGTTCAAGTAGAAGATGCTCTAAGTCAGCTAGAATCAGTACGATATATATATATATATGTATGACAGGGTATTCCTAGGCAACTCATACACATTATGTAATCAAGAAGTGCATACGGGACCATGAATCTCAGGAGTTGAAGTACAAATTAGTAGTCTTTCGTTGTACATATGGCATGAAGCGAAAAACTAGAGGTTCAGGTTTACGCGTCAAACCGTAAGAATTGTATTATTTATTTCTGCAGTGCAAAATACACCGGTTGCCAATCTGGCTTTCGTATACGCTACAAGGAGGACGAGTTTATCATTTCTTCCGCGAAATATGAGTTACAAACGTATAAAATTTGTGTCGGATAAAAACGTGATTGAAAGGCGTACCAACAATCACCTCACTGAAGCTAATGGTAAGAAGGGCAAGACGCCACAAGTCACCAGAATAGATAAACTCACGGCCAACATGGTAGAACTCACAGCCTCCCTCCTCTCAAATCTCACAAAATTAACTCCGCAGAACACGACACCAGCCGGAAGGCTAGTAAATTATAATCTTACTCCTAAATTAGTCCCTCAGCCCTCTACCTTGGATCTGGATAATTCTCTGGACAGCCCTAAGACAGAAATCAATGCCTCCTGTAAGTCGACAGCATCCTCTCCTAGCCATAACGTGAGAATTCAAATAGAATTCGGCAACAAAACATGCCAAAATTCACCACTTTTTACGAAAAACCCCCAACATTTTCAAACTCCTAAGAAGAATACACGCTGTAAGGTAGAAAATATACAAAACTATGCTAGCAACCAAATTAAAAACACAAATAAGGCCGTACGGTCCACGGACAATAATGACACAAATTGCTTACATACTATGCCAAGTGACACTGGTAGCTGGTGTAGCGACACCATCACGCAAAATAGTACAAGTAGTAACATTCAGAGCTCAGCCACCAACCACTTTGGATCTTCAAAGTGTGGCACACAAACAAACTTTGACGGAATATGTGGAACAAGTCTGCTGGGAATCAAACCACAGCACAACAATGCATACAACGAAACCCGTGTAAGGTCACTTAGAATATCTCCAAACAATAGGCATAGGCATCACAAGGTACCAATGATTGATTCTCCAACACATCCCTCTCAGCGCTAACCAAACGTCTGGTGGGGATGTTAACTCTTCTGAACCCGTACCACTAATGTCGGCTCCCTATCGGAAAGAAAACAGATGTAGCCTAGCGCACACGCAATTATTAATCACATCCAATGCTTGTACAAACATAGGTCAAATAAAGACTCCTAACCAAGTCTTCAACCTACCAAAGCCTAGAACTACCTTTTCCTATAGTAAATCCAATAAAAAACTCATTGTTCACTAAAAGAAGCAGAAAGTAACCCGATAGACATAGGTGATCATGGTAATCACACTAACTGCAACACAGGGTTTTTATGTCATAAGGAAGCAGTGGATGGCGATCCACAC